TGCATCTTCAATAAACAAGCAACAGTTAGTCCAAAATGCAGCCTTGCTAATTCTTACCAGGTCAAAAAAATATGATCACATTACCCCAATTTTATCATCTCTAAACTGGTTACCTATTAAGTTCTGTATTGATTTCAAAATATTGCTACTGACCTATAAGGCACTAAATGGTTTAGATCCTGTATATTTAACTGATCTTCTTATGCCCTATAATCCATCACACTCTTTAAGGTCACAAAACTCTGGAGTTTTAATAGTACCTAGGATATCTAAGTCCACTAAATCTCATCTGGCTTCTAAACTCTGGAATAGTCTTCCTGATAATGTCCGGGGCTCAAACACACTCGCTCTGTTTAAATCTAGATTAAAGACACATCTCTTCAGCCAAGCATTCGCATAATGAATCTCAATCTCACCCTGGTTCCCAGTTAGATCAGAAAAAAGTCACAAACATATTTTTTTGCTTGAAACATTAGGAACAGCATCTACGATAATTATTTTCTATCTGCCTTTCTGTTCCTACCCCGGGATGCCCATCTCGAGGTAATTATGCCAGAGATTACGCCAGCTCCAGCCTCATAGAAAGACTTCAGATGACCCAACACCTGTGAAGAGATGATGCTGACCCCTGCGAGGACCCCAGATGACGCCAACTTGAATCGACATGCACAGCTGCCAAAATTTATCTATATTGTAATCATTATGATCACACTTGTAATAATCACTTTAATGAGCTTCTGCCTAAAATTAATTCATATTAGCTAGCTGTATGATTCTATTATCTTGAACTATTCATTTGTGAAATGAACATTACTTGGACACATTAACTTCTGCTTTGTAATGTAGACACATGCATTTTCTATAAAGCTGCTTTGAAACAATGTGTATTGTGAAAAGTGCTATACAAATAAATTTGAATTGAAATTTGAATTGAATCTATACACAAAGTGCCTGTATTTGAAAACTTGCCAAACCTGCCAGTGGATTATGTTTTTAAATATTATTGAATGAGTCTGAATTTACAACTTGAGTGACACAGCTTCAACTATAACTGGACTAAGCATTTCTTTTAACAGTTTTTTGTCTAGATTAAAACTTTTAAAAGTGAACTTGGAGGCTAATGCAAATAGCAGTTAGTTGAACTATGAGTTGAGCATGAGTTGAATCTCATGTTTTATAAGATTTTTCCTTCACAATCCGATACCCTTTAGTACTATAGGATGGATGGACCCTTTACATATTAGAATAACTTGCTGGTTTATTTCTCTGCTGTTCTGTTCATCCTGTCCAGATTGATTTATGTAGGCAATTTGAAGAATTGTCATTGAGCAGTTTCTGTTTTATAGTGCCTTGCAATTACTTCACAATACCAATTTTCTCAAATCATCAGAAATGTATTCAATCATGAAAAGAGCAGAGATTATTTTTTAATAGGAATAGGATTAACATTAACAATAGGATATCATCAAAAATTATTTTGAATTCAAGTCATCACAAAAGCCCATGCTTAATTTACATTTATTTCATTATGTTATTTGTACAGTGCTCTATCAAACTGTTGAATTGTTGAGTTGGTTTTATTAACTGCATAACCAATTCGACAATTAACACTACAAAGAGTAGATCCGACACCTTTGGTTGAGACTTGTATATTGTATATATACTGTACACCTAGAGGTGTTCATTAACATGTGATTTTATTGTGTTTCATACCACATATCTCATAGAACTTTAGTATTTGAAACAGGATATTGTACTGCAAACTCCAGAGAAGAATAACACAGATTTTCAGTTGTTTTATGAATAAAGGTTATCTAGTTCCAAATCACAGGCAAGGCACACATGTGAGGAACACGGTTTATTGATTTTCAAAAGATATTATTAAAGGCAATGAATTTGCTTCCATACAAAATTCTGATCTTGTTATACAACAATGTTTAAGATTAGCAGATCTGTGATTGCACAAGAGTTTGGGAAATTTAATCAAAATATATAAAAAAGTTTGTTTCTATAAACACTACAGTGCAGAGATGCAGCAATAATAAACTAGCAATAAAATAATCAACAATGCTTTAGCATTCATTTTCTCAAAACCATTAGTCTATGAGAGCCGAACATGAAACTTTTTTCCCCCAATCAGTTAAATATGTTTCTGCATTAAATCCAATAAAAATTATAGAGTAGGTCACATAAAGATACTGAACCTTTTTCTTTGCACACACTTAATCTCAGCAGTCCACAACTGTCAAGCATAAACTAAATTCCCCTTTTAGGGAACTCATGCCATGTGTCCTAGTGGACACTTTGGGGACTGCCTGCATCTGAAGCACGTGTGAAACAACTCCAATCCTATTGGCCCGCGTAGCTCGTGACATCACAGGTATAAGAGGGTGCCTGCAGAACACATCACCAACTTTTGTTTTCTTCTGGAGGCTTTTGTTTGACAGTACGTGTGAAGCCATTATGGAAAAATCAAGGCAAGTGAGCAATTTAGAAAGTGTGTGCCTCCGTGTCCGAGGTTTCTGACACACGAGGACACACTCGATCAATGCGTTATGTGTCTTGGTGAGGAGCATACGCGTTTGGTGCTCTTCTCGAGGGATGAGGGACAAGCGTCTGCATCTCAGGGTTCGGGTCCCGCTGCTGCAGAGGCACAGCGAAGACTCAGATCGCGGGGTTCGCAGGTTGAGCTTTCAGAAAAGTTTGAGAAGGGTATGGACCTTTTGAAAGCTTCCAATTCTAACACTTGTAGGCATATTCTGACTTTTGCGTTATTGTCTCAGCAAGGAGCATGCGCGTTCAGTGCTACACACTAATTGTGATGAATCACAACGTCAAGGCTCTGCTCATGTTTGTTTCTATTCCCATGGGACGTGGGACAAAGCGTTTGGGTCTTGTGTGCCGTGGCACGGTTTATCTCAGCTCACAGCGAATGTTTTGATCTGTGGGATCTGCATACCCTCTCTAAACGGGTTGCCTGTTGCCGCAGATAGTATTTGTGTTGTTATGACAATGAAAGTGTGAGCACTGAGTCATTTTAGCCCTGATCTTGTGAGATCGCGGGTGGAGCTATATTCAGCTTGGCTGTGTCTCTCTAATTTGCATATTATTGTGTGTGGAGAGTTTCGCTGGGCGTGGATATATTTAAATGCTCTGTTGAGAGATGCTTGTGAGCTTTCTCTCCCAGGGTGTTTTAGTGACCTAGTTTGGTTTGTGGGTGTCCCCCGAGACAGCTGTTGTGCCATGCCTCACTCAGTTTTCTGCTGCCAATGCTTGAGATGGTCATGATGTTGTATCTGTAGTTAGATTGGCCTTCCGGTCTTTTTTGACATTCCCTCTCAGGGAACCATGGTTACATGCGTAACTTGAGATGTTCTGCCATAAAGACTGGAAAGGAAAGCCATTCTCTTTCATTCACTGAACAAGACCAAGCTACAGGAGAAGAACAGCTATACTGCTAAATTGGGGGGGGGGGGGGGGGGGGGGGGGGGGGTACAATAAATTTCATTATGTATATTACATATTTTTGTAGCATATTTGTATCTATTTGCTATAGAATAAAAAAGTAACTTGTTTATTAATAGTGTTTATTTAAACTCTCAATAGCTTCCTGTTTTGTGTACTTCCTCCATTCATCTGGAATCTTCCCAGACCCCTGGAATGTTTTATTGTACTTATTTTCCAGATCTTTTTGGAATCTGCAGACAACCCACTTCCAGTATGGCAGTTCAGAAAAGTCAGGTGTAATGCTCCAGTTAGCATATTTGGGACCTCCTTTTCTGTATTCTCTCCATAGGACTGCTATGGTATCTGAGACATTTGGGTAAAAAGAGTGATTGCTTGCTACTTCTGATGTGCAGATGTCAACACTCAGGTGTTTTGTTTCACTGAAATGCCACCCATTCAACCCTATGTTTCGATGGAAAGGAACACTGTGATCTCCTCCATGATTTTCTATTGTTTTGGTGCAGATGGCTTTACAGAAAGGACACTGAACCCAACAGCAACGACAAAGGTGATCAATGAGAATCTCATCTGGCCTGTCCCTATAGTCTAGCTTATCTAGAAAATTAACTACCCTGAATGTTCTGCTTGTGTCAAATTTAACAGCAGGGAGTTCTCTTCGCATCACATCTACTAAGAAGTTGATGTCAACATCATTATAACTCACTCCGGTGAAGGTCTTTCCAGAGAGTATCAGCACATCTGACAGCTGGTGTGTAAAATGCTTTAACCAAGAATCAACATCGTTCTTTACTTTAACCAGTCTAGATGCTTCATGTGCTGCTTCTATGATCTTCTGCTGGTGGAGTATAATGCCCTCTTTTATCTTAGGCAGAACACTCACATTAAACTTTTCACTGACGTAGTTACTGACTTCATCTCTGATGAAAGTCTTGAAGAGCTTTCTGGGATTATGAATGTATGTCATATACATGTCAAAATTCTCCCTTTCTGCCAGTACCTTCAGGATGTGTTTCTCTAGTTTAGATCGGTTCCCATTCACTGATTCACAGTTTGATCTCATTTCATTTGCCAGTTCTCTGGCAGTCTTTTTGTAGACACTCTGTTGAATAGGCTCTTTCAGTTTATTACAGATTAATTCTCCAAAAATGGCAGAAGATGTTGCTCCTTGACAATATTTCTGGAAAATACTGTAGAACTCTCCTTTCTTCCTTTCAAAATAAAGAACAGGATAATTGGCTTCCCTGAATATTCCGTGGAGATCAGTGTAAGTGTCGGTCACTGCAGGAGTGTCTTTCCTGATGTCATCTATCCACATTTTCCAAGAGGAATCAAACTTTTCTTCCAGGAGTTTTTCATCCTTCAATTTGTCTTTGAGTGTTAAAGCAAGTTGTTTGCTCTTTTCAAAGATAATGTTTTCGTAATGTGTTCTCTGATCATTCATCTTTTTATTTATATCTTGCTGTTGTAGAACCTCATTCAACTTCCTCTTTGATTCTCTCACTATGCTTTCTTGAAGCTCTCTTATTTTTATCTCAAAAGCTTTCCACTGAAAAAGCATAGAAGCATTTTTGTGCTGCTTAAAGAATTCTGACATTGATTTTTTCACTTCTTCACTCACCTCTTTGAATTGGTCTTCAAAATCATTGTCCTTAATGTCATGAATTACACTATTTTCTATTTTGTTAAGAAGTGTGTTTTCAATTTCCAGCATAGAATTCGTAAGAGTCCAAGACCACTTGCTGTATTCAGTTTCAAGTTTCCTGTAATTTGCAACTTCCAGGGAGTTTTTGAAACTGAATACAAAGCGTTCGTTAAGCAGTGCCTCACAGAGATCTTGCATATGTTGTTTTAGGTGGGTCAACATAATACCATCAGATTGTGAGGCATGATAAAATATTGTTTCCTTTAGGTCTTGAACATTTTCACTGTAGTTTGGGTTTGGAGGTGCCATGGGTGGGTTCCCTTCCCACAGTTGTGCACAATACCTCACATCATCCAGAGGATCAAATTTAATGACATCTTTGAAGCACTGAACATCACAGACATCATCTTTTGCAGCAAGTTCTGTCATCTCATCTAGTTCCTCTAGTAGCTTTCTTTTTCCTTCCATATTTTTCTCTTTAGCTGTGATGTCTGAAACATTCTGATGCACAAATATGCAGCTGGGATTCAGTTTAACCTGCTTCATCCTCAAGATGGCGTGAACAACAATCTGAAGAATGTTTTGCATCTCAGCTAAGCTTTCTCCAAAAATATTGATCAATGTCAGATTTCCAAGACCTGCAACAAATGTGGCCAGTTCATTGTCATGATCTCTTGTTTTCCTTCCAGACAATTCTGGCGAACAAAGACCCTCAGTATCAACAATCAGAATATAGTCAAACTTAAGCTGTGTTTTCATCTCATCTGAGACTTTGACCAGCTGCATGAAAGCTCCTCTGGTGCACCTGCCAGCACTGACTGCAAACTGGAGTCCAAACATGGTATTCAGCAATGTGGACTTCCCAGTGCTCTGAATTCCCAAAACTGACAGCACAAAGACTCTCAGGTTTCCCAGTTTTTTGACAAGTTCATCAAAAACAGCAGTAACCCATATCAGAGGTACATGAGAGGCGTCTCCATCCATCAGCTCCAGTGGAAATCCTGAGATCATCATCTCTGCTGCAAGACCGGGGAGAGAAGAAAAGTGACACTGCAGGCCATCCTTGTCCTTCTTTACAGATGAACATGATTCATAGATTTGACCAATCTCTCGTAGGATGTGCACCAAGCCAAAGTTTGCAGAATGTAAATCTTCAGATATTGTCTTTAGTTCTGTTTGCACAGCTACCAGCTGTTCAGGTTTACCATGGTTCTTCTTTAGTTTTAAGACCTCTGAACACTTTATATTGTACTTGAGATGCAGAGCAGAAAGATCTTCTGAGGTGCGTTCATCTAGGAGAATTCCAAGCCATTTAAGAAAAAACATCTTTTCATCTGGATTAAGTGAGTTAATTTCTTTCAGAAACAATTGAATAAACTCACTGCTAACTGATGCGTGCTGCTGTTCACGAATTTTCTTTAGGTCTGTTTTTTTTCTGCTTATGTCTATTTCTGTTTTATCCCCTTGAGGTTGATGTAGCTCTTTATTCTTCTGACACCACTGATGCCACAGTTTTCCCTGACAGGGCAAAAGTAGTTCTTTGCTTTGCGTTAGATCTGTCTTCTCCAGTAAGCTCATCATCTGCTGTGCTTTTTCTTTTCCCATCCTGCAGTCATCAAGATCAAGCTCATCTACTCTAATATCTGAGAATCTGGCCACATCTTCAAGTCTGAAAACACTACATGATCCAGTAGATGAGAATGAAAGGCCATAATTTATAGCTCTTACAAGTTCCTCGATTACTTCTGACTGATTTCTGTCTTTCAAGCCAATTTTATATTTTCCTTTTCGCATTTCAGTAAGGGCTGAATTATTTTCATCAAGGAGGCAAATTACTGTTGTTGAGTCCTTGTAGATCTTTTGTATTTTTGTTGCATTTTTGTCATTTCTATCAAGCTGTGGCAAAAGAACAACACTCACAGAAGCCATTTCAGCCAAGATATTCAGTTGTTTCTCATTGGCTCCTGCATCACCGTGAAGATTGCAGAATGCAACACAGTCAGTAAATGTATCAGTGTGTTTACCAGAGGGGCAGTACCAGGAAATCTCCACAACTCCGTCCATCAGTACTCTGGTGCTGCTGCTGCCTTTGCAGTTCCTGTGAAAGAATGTGTTGTGTTTCTCATTGATCAGGCTGCTCATCAGCTGAGACTTTGATGAGGAGACTTGGCCAAATCTGAAGAAAGCCACCATTGGGGTAGCTGCCTTGCAGACTGGCTGGGTTTTAGTGATAATTTCATTCTTGGAATTTTTTATACTCCAGCTTTTATTGATTTGTCTAAAAGTCCAGAGAGGAAACTCAAGCTGTTGTGTGAATGGATCAGGAACAAGCAGGGGGAGAGCATACTGACATTGTGAGAGTTTAGTCACCATCAGCTGCTTCAGGAAACTATCAGCACAATGAAAAATGGCCATCTGAACATCCATTGGGTGGATTTTGAAATTGATCTCTGATTGGTTCTCAAGTTTGCAGTTAGTTTCATTTAACTTGTGTCCTTTTTCCTCATTTGTACAGTTAATTTGGTAATATTTTTCCTTGTGTTTAATGCTTGTGTATCTTGCCATGTAATTAATTCTCATCAGTTTTCGTAAGAAAGCATAAATCAGTTCAGTCTCATCCTGTGGCTCCTTCCAGTGCAGAGAAAACTTGTTAAGCTGTAGAATGTCAGCTGTTGTCAGTTTATCTAAATGGCTGTTTTTGAGATTCAGTCTATTAAAGAGGTTTGTGGTTTGTTCATTTTCCACAGATTCATGTTGTTTAGACTTCTGTGTATTTTCCACTCTCTGCAAAATGACAAAATCAAAATGATGTACAAAAATATTAATTTACTGATTCAATTAATAAAAAAAAAATCTAACTGTTGTAGAAGTCTAAAAATCTTTTACAAAACCAAAATCTTGAGAAGATCTTATCTTGTTCATTTGTCAGAAACGTACTATAGCAATGTGTGTGTTAATTCAGTTAATTTTCCTTCCGTTTATTAGGGTAGCCATATGTGTCATTTACATGGGACACGTCCTAGCCAGGATCTTTATATTGCCTAAAACATCCAAAGTAGTTTGACCAATAACATGCAGGTATTGTACATAATCGACCAATCGTGGCACATCGCGCATGAGAAGGATCAAAGCGATGCAAATATGCGCATGTGTTTGTTCGTTCGTTCAACTTGAAGCTGCACACCAATCATTGTATGACACCAAAGTACCGCGAGAGCGATTTGAAAGCATAAGGAATAAATCTGCTCTGCTCTCAATAGCTCTCGTGAAATAATGTCATACAACGATCAATCTGCACAGTGCAAACAGCCAAAACCTGGATATTTTAGGCAATATAGAAATCCCGGCAAGGGTGCATCCCGTAAAAATGGCCCGTATGGTCACCCTACTATTTATGTATGTGCCTGGTTGTACCTCTGTGTGTACATGTGGATGTAGGTAGAAAATTTAAGTAATGAAGGGATGAAGTGTCTACTACAAAATGGTTTAGCTGTTCCAGGTTCTCAGTGTATGTGTAGTAGGGGTGTGCGATATTGACAAAAAAAAATGTATCTCAATATTTTCTGGTATTTTATCGATAAAGATAATTAGACTATATTTTGCTGAGTGTGTTATTGTGCTGGTACCTTAAGGACTGCCATGGACAGCTGACTCCTAAAGTTTTTAATAATCTTTATATTCTGTGTGGTCAGTTCACACTAAGAGAAATTTATCTTTTCCAATAAGTTTAAACTTATTTTTACATTTTATGGGCATTTTTACCTTTATAAAGCCATTTTTTCTAAAAGTGTCCATTATCTTTTGACTGAAATTCTTACATTTAATCAGGGAATTATAATAATAAGACATCTGGGCTGTTACCAAGCAAATTAAATCAACACAGAAGCTGCATCTGAAGTGGCATTTAGATGTATTTTACACACTGTTTAATGCAAGATATGAATGCATTTAACTGCAATTACAAATGCATAAATAGTGTTTTGATATATTAAACATAAAACTTTGAATAATGATATTTGAAATTATTTAAATAATAAAAGATACTTTAAATGTGAAATTAAAACCGCCAGCAGGTGGCAGCAAGTGACTGTTAATAAATGAGTCATTGCGACTGAACTGAATCGTTTAAACGGTTGATTCATTCAGGAACGAAACACTGTCATGTTGCTCAGAGACACAAAACAGCACTGTGGCTTTGTTTGAAATAATTTTTTTGTTGTCAAAATAGAGCAAAAACAGGCAATATGGTGTCTAAAACGTAAGTCTCTTAATTAACTTCTTGTTTATTTAACTGTTGTAAAAAATCTCTATCACATTTGTAATCATAGTAATATTTGGAGAAAAACGGCACTCTTCATGTGAAATTGATTATTAACTATATGAAATGGTATAAATATACACATGTTCTGCCATCATGTCTTGAATTTGTGATCATTCTAAAGGCATTTTAATAGACTGAATCATGCAGTGAAAGAACGCACTCTAAAACATGCGCACTAGTCTAGACTTCACGTAATGTATGCGTGCGCTCTGTAGGGGTGTTTTTAATGGTTTTTGCAAAATACTCGATAATGTCAAATCGCACATCATTAAAACACCAATAACGATATTATTGGACAATATACTGTATATTGCACACCCCTAATGTGTAGTGTAGGTTTGCTTCTTTTGTAACTAAGCTGGAAGCTATTAAAGCTGTGTGCCTCTGAGGTCTCAAAAATACAAAAAAGGTGTGCACATCCCACAAACCCATCTAGGGCTCAGGTGGAAGACAAAAAAAGGGCAAACATAAGCAAAAAAAATAAAAAAATAAATAAAACTTTATTAAATGTTTCTACTAGGTCTTAATTTACACCGGACAAGTTTCTAAAATATACGGCCTTAGAGTTTGGCTTGCGTAATACAACAAACACTTTCCAATGACTTATGCAGAAGATTTTGTCTAGTTTACCAAATTGTGAAGCTTATTTAGATGATATAGTGGTATACTCGAATTGCTGGGAAGATCACATAAAAACTTGTTAATTGTTGTTAATTTAGCTGATGCCTCACTTATACTGCATGTAGAAAAAGTTTGCTCAGACCAAAGTAACATACTTGGAGAAAAAAATAGGTAGAGGATCAGTAAAACCTGTCGAAGTGAGAGTTTTTGCCATCCTGGAGTTTCACTTACTGACAAATAAATCGTAACTGACATGATTCTTGGAAATGTTTGCATATTACTGAGGGTTTTGTAAAAAAAAAAACAAGTTTGATCATTGTTGCTCTTATAACAGATCTGACCTACAAAGGCAAAACACCTTAACTTGCTAGAGTGTGGAACTGAGAAAACAACTTAAAACATTTTTTTATTTGTACAGCCAAATTAATTATAGGTAGGACACTGGAAATCTGCCAATTAGATGTGTTAGTAAGGAAAATTATCTACATAAAAAAAACTTGAGCTCAAACTTGACTTTTGACCCTTATTTTGCAGTTACTATACAAAAGGCAAAAGGCAGTAACTTCCACATAATCAATATTTGGTTGCTGATGTAGTGGACAGCAGATGACAGCTTTTTGTTGCATTTTCGTGAACACACCCAGTGGGCAGCCATATTGCTGTGGCACCCGGGGAGCAGTTGGGAGTTCGGTGCCTTGCTCAAGGGTCTCACCTCAGTTGTGATACTGAGGGTGGAGGAGAGCACTGATTATTCACTCCCCCCACTGACAATTCCTGCCGGACCTGAGAGTCAAACCCGCAACATTCGGGTTACAAGTCTGACTCTAACCATTAGGCCACAACTGCCCGTAACATTAACATACAGTAACCTTCGTTCAGGAATTGCTTTATTCCCCCTCAAGCTTATCTTTATCACATGCTCTTCACCGATCACAGTCCTTCATTCTTGAGACCTAAGTGTGAAAGACCACTGACTCCCTCAGACTGACCAAACCGTTTTGACTTGTGGTTGAAGCTACAAGGGAAGGACACATCTTCACAAATGCGTTTATACAAAATGGACACAAAATTGATTAAGTCTTCTTCAAATCCATCTACAGAACTGCATATACTTAATGAATGCTGTGTGTGATACAACAATATATGCAACCTTACCTATTAAGGTACATACTGTCTATATAAATTAGGGATGTAATGATTAACCGCGAGCCGGTTGAAAATCGATTTAAATATGTGACGATTCAAATCGGTTGAGATGCTAAACAAAACGCGATTCAATTAGGGGTAGGAGTTTATACGAATGTATGTCTGAGGGGAACTTACTGTCTTTTTCGATGGTATTTTTTCTTTTCCTCTTGCCTCTGTATAATGCATATTAAAGTTCATAAGTGCAGCTTTGCTTTGTTTACAGCGGAAACCAAGGAAACACTTTAAGCGCCACATGCTGGCAGAGAGTGAATCTGCGTCTCATTCAGCTCCTCTGCTGTTTCTGTTTCATGCAGATATTTTTATGTATAGTTTCACAAAACTGAAGTCAAACCATTCTGTTTTTGCTTCAAATTTCGAAACTATACAATGTAATTTAGATTAAAAACTGCTCATGTTGCATGTATGCAGCATCTTTGTTTGGATCATGATTAAAATGCAGTGGTGTCTCTAATTTTAAATGGAAAGAGCACAGACAAAGCCTTAGTTTGTTTATATGAAGAGATTTATTTTATTTGTGTTACTTATTTATTTGATTTGGGGCTTGTTTTAAAATTGCAATTTAGTTTTGTTATTTACATTTACATTATATTAAAATTTTGTTATTTAGCAAATGCTTTTATCCAAAGCGACTAACAAATGAGGACAATAGAAGCAATCAAAACAACAAAAGAGCAATAATTTACAAGTGCTATATTAGTATATTATTATAGTGTTATATTTCAATTTCACAAAGAAACGTACAGTATTTTGTCCAAGCAATAATAAAAGGACACATTTAATTTATAATTTGTCTTAAATCTCATTTTGTTAAAAAAAATTGTGAATCGAATCGAATCGTGAAATCAAAATCGTGAATTGAATCGAATCGTGAGTTGAGTGAATCGTTACATCCCTAATATAAATGCATGGGTCAATGTTCAACATTACCCATTGACATTTGGTCTTCATATTTTCAGCATAATGCGTAGGTTAATCTGGAATTGGTTTGGAAAGTGAATTATGCATAGGAAAAACCTTAAAGACATTGTTCTAAACTTGGACTTTAAGCTATGCAAATAAACCTAATGTCAGAGGGGCCATACCATGGCCACCTCCGACAGCATCGGCCAATCAAAACGCTGGAACTGAAAGGCACCAACTTGAAAATCCCTCCTTCTCAGGAAAGATTAAAAGGTTCTCTTCAACATAAAAGGTGTGCTAAGCTGTTGTTGCTCTACTCTGTGCTAAGAAAAATGTGCTAGCCCAAGATGTGCTAAGCTGCTGTTGTTGTACTACTGTGAAACAAGGAAGTTCTGCAAGGAGTGAATTTGGGGAGTTTGGGAAACTGCCACAACCAACACACACAAGCAACAACGACCACAAGCTTAGTGCCCCATCTTCTGCAACAACTTCAGAACCTTCTCTTCAGTGATCC